GTTTAGGGTTTAGGGAACCCCAAGCTGGGTCGCAGCTACTACTACCCGCTACCGAGTCGCAGCAATCTTGGGGAAACCACTCGCCATCCCAGCAGCTTCTTGGCACCCTCAACCTCGGCTGAGCAAGTCGCAGACGCTTCATTCCTGCGATCATCTCCAGACAGTGTATTTACCTTACAACCTATCTATCTATCTATCTATCCATCTATATCTATCTATTTATCTATCTATCTATCTATCTATCTATCTATGCAGCTATATATATATATGTATGTATGTATGTATGTATGTATGTATGTATGTATGTATGTATGCACAGAGAGAGAGAGAGATAGATAGATAGATAGATAGATAGATAGATAGATAGATAGATAGAAAGAGAGAGAGAGAGAGAGAGAGCGATATATATATATACACACACACATCCTCTCCTTTTTTGTTATATAGTTATATTAAACACATACACACAAACGAGACCATGGAAACAATCAGCTAGCCTCTACAGTTGCGCAGGTCCTTCCCACAAAAACTGCGCCCTAAAGCCTTTAACCCTAAACCCCTAAACCCTAAACCCTACAGCCACAAAAACTGCGAGACGTCCCTGAAATGATCGCAGGAAGGGACCTGCTCTCAGCTCTGCTCTCCTCCCATGTGCAGCAGAGCAGCGGATCAGGGTTTAGGGTTTAGGGTTTAGGGTTGAGGGTTTAGGGTTTAGGGTTTAGGGTATAGGGTTTAGGGTTTAGGGTTTAGGGGTTTAGGGGTTTAGGGTTCAAAATAAATAAACAAAGGCTTCGGGGGGGCTGGGTCTGAAAAATGAAGCCTTTACAGAGCCCAAGATATAGTTTAGACAGTGTTACAGGGTTTAGGGTTTAGGGTTTAGGGTTTAGGGTTGGGTTTAGGGTTTAGGGTTTAGGGTTTAGGGTTTAGGGTTTAGGGCAGGCCCCCCTACAGAACCTTACAACGCCAACAGAAGACTCGCAAAGCCCTAACTGGGAGAAACATGGGGCTTGGAAACTATGCTTATAAGTGCTTGAATCAGGGTTATCGGTAACCCTAAGCAAAGTTACCCTAATAATGACCCTACTGCTTAAGTCCCATGATCCGTCAAGTATGGTGCACCTCTGAGAGCACGGCCCCACTCGAGGTCGCAGGGGGTTCAGCATTGGTGGCACCTGCCCCTGCAGAAAAACTACCGAGATTCTGAGAGACCAGGACGACAAGTTTGGGGTTCAGGGTTTAGGGGTTTAGAGTTTAGGTTGGAGGGTAGAGGGTTTAGGGGTTTAGGGGTTTAGGGGTTTAGGGTTTAGGGGTTTAGGGTTTAGGGTTCGGGCGTTTAGGGTTCAGGGTTTAGGGTCTACCTGGACCCTGAAGAACCTACCATTCTTTAAAGGCTCCTTATTCTGGCTTCCTTATCAAACTCAAACAGGCAAGTTCTTTAAGTCTACAGGCCGGGTTAAACTTTGGGACTAGATGAAAGCCTCGTTGGGGCTGCCTACTGCAATCATTTCAGATCTTTCAAGAACGGAGGCTTCTGTTGTCTTAGGGGCTGAGTACCCCAGCCCAAGAAAGGTTAGCCTTTTGAATTATAGTAGGATCATATAAGCCCGAAAAAGTTAAAGGTTACCATACCTACTCAGCCCCTGAGTTGTTGCTTCCAGCTAGATCCTCTGACAGATAAGACGTCTCAGCCCAGTCTTATCTCCAGAGATGAGGTCTTCTTTTTAACCATGAGGGTCCTACTATTTAGGGTACTATGTTAGCCTAAACCCTAAACCCTAAACCCTAAACCCTAAACCCTAAACTCTAAACCCTAAACCCTAAACCGTTTTAGGGTACTATGTTAGGGTCCCGGTGTTCGGAAACCTCTATATCCGAAACCCGAACTCCCCGAGGCTGTCACCTTACAACCCTGAACCTTACAACTTAATTAGGGTTTAGGGTTTAGGGTTTAGGGTTTAGGGTTTAGGGTTTAGGGTTTAGGTTTAGGGTTTAGGGTTTAGGGTTTAGGGTTTAGGGTTTAGGGTGTAACCCCCAACCCCTTCTGTTGATTTTATAAATCCTGCATTCCCCATGATAAGGAATATACACCATACTTCCCATAGTTTAAGGTTTGGGGTCCTTGAGATGATGCAGGACTTATATCATCAACCGTATTAC